ACCTGACCTCATTTCCTTCTACACTAGCTGATGTGGCCTCTCTGAGCAGCTTTAGGAACTTACATGTAGAAGTATGCCTTATCATTCTCGTTCCGGGGGCTGGGTAAAAACTGCATGCACATACATACCAGGAGAGGCGTACTACGTGTACTTTGTAGTTAGTGCTAATCCAGGTGTATCAAACTCATCCAAGATAATACAGACAATGAAATGAATTCCAAAAGAAATGATTCCTATGTCTTTCGTGGTTTGTAAGAGGGGAAAACTTCAACCTTAAAAATGCAGTGAAGTACACAAGATATTATGCCTAATTTGTTTTGGTAAATAAATGTGCATTTTTTACCATTTGGTCAATTTAATTACAAGTGAAATCTGAAAAAAAAACAGGACTGAATAACTTATTTCCACCTTACAATAGTAGATGTCCAAGTACATGTATAAGATGACTATGGACAGGCTTTCAGAAAGACTACATGTAACAAGTGGCAACAGCAGTAAATGCAAACACACAGTTTTAATAACCTGAAAAATATTAAACAAGGGTCTGCATGCACTTTAGGATAATGACAATTGTCATTAGGCCAATGCTAATTTGAGTATTATCACCATATTGCAACTTGGGCACAGTGGATGACTTTTATGGTAATGGCTATTTTATGATGATTGGTCGGTAAAGCAAAATAAGAGCCTCCACAAATGAAGACCAACCTTATGTGTTTGGTGGCTGAAGACAATTAGCTACTTTTTAGCGGGCACTTTATATATGTATGGGGATACACGTACATGCACGTATGACAGTAGTCATGGAGGGTCAACAAGATGCATTTACATGATCAGACATCAAGCTGATTGCAATGACATCATTCCTATTACAGTGAAAATATAAGAGGTAACGTGCCCTCAACACATTGGCAGAAGTTGATAAAAAAAGGGACGCACTCTACCTCTTTTCAAGTGGTAGTCAATGCCCTGGATGTCAAGGCATCACATAAAGGTGCTGGACACATTGGCAGAATCAGAAGACCCAATACTCTGACAACATACTAATATTTTAAAACAACGCAGTGAATACACCTCTAACATCTATCCAAACTTTTTACAGATTTATTTGGGAACCTTTAAAGTGCAATAGCTTGGTCTAGCCTCTCACTGGGCCCAGGTTCACAGCACTGCTGAGCACATGATTTTAGGCCAACAGAGACTCTGCATATTTCATGGAGATCATAAGCATGTAAGCACAGCAAAAGACACGCTTACTTTTGAGGACAAATTTGCTTAACTTAGAGATGCAAGAACGGAAAATTCTATGTGTCAGTATGACAATGCCAAGCACCCCCGTGAAAATGTGCTTACAGTTAGCAAAACGTTGTGCTACAGCAGGCACGACTTTCCTGTTTACCGTTAAGCAGTGCCATGACATGGTACCCAGGTAGCATACAGTAGCTTTAGGCATTTGTGTCAGCTGCTAATGAAGGCCAAGGTCCAGCAGCTTTAAACAAGTTAAGAATATGTACAAAATTGTGCACTTTACAGCACAATTAGCATCAGCAGTGAGAAAGAACTTTGAAGGAGGTTTGTATGATGTGCGCATCCTCCTACTGAGAATTCTGTGTCAACAAGGTCGATGCCCACGCTGGCAAGTGCTTGCCAGAACAGTGTGACTATCACTGAAACAGGTCATGGCACCAGGCTTTGGTTTTGTGCTACAAATTTTCAACAAAATCTGTTTGGTGGGAACAAGACTTGCATGCGTGCCTGGATGCACTAGACTTCCTTGTAAGTGGCCAGAAAAAGTGAGATTCACCTCAGAGATGGTATGTTACAGAACTGAAAGCAAATCATCAATTTGGGAGGAAAAGAAAGAGGTTAATACAAACTCTTTGTGGCCTTGCCTGCCTGTCTTTTTGATTACTCTTTTCAATGACTTTTCAACCAGTGTACAAGAAGGTACCTGTAACCTTGTTATGATGCATTCCGTGGGAATAAAAGTTGACAGAGAAGAGGATTGTTACAGTTTACTTCAACTGTAAGAAGGTTGTTGGGTCCAACTGAATGATACGTGCACGTGCACGATATGGGGCCGATGGGTACCCCCCTACATGTCCAATCCCTATACACACTCATAGACTATTGTTACCTAACACATCCCCCCAAGAAGTCTGTAAAGAATTCCTGAGATTCTCATCAAACAATGACCAACATAAAGGCAGGGGGTTCTCTCAGCCCCATATCTTGCATCATTATGAACTGAATTACCATGTTACAAACAGAACCTTATTACAAAAGGACCATCAGAATAAAGAAAAATAAAGGAATGCAAGAGGTTGCGACCCTCAGAATTTGCTCTTTATTACAATGGTTTGTTGTAACTGCTGTCTGTACTGAAAGTGGGCTGCACCTCAACAGGTGCAAAGGCTGCCATCTTGCAAAATATTAAACTCCACAAAACAAACAGGAAGAACCGCCCAACGAAAAGAGAATGTGTGGCACCAGTTTTAGATCCCACCTTACTGTGTGGAAAATGGTCTACTTAATCAGCACATCTCTGCAGAGCAACAGACAGAGGACCAGCAAATCAATACAGATAGGTTGCATCAGTTGTTTCCATCCACACGAATTAGTCTGTACACTTAAATACTGCATCCTGTTAAATATTCATTTAAATGGTTCTGAGGATGGATAATCATTTATCTCTTTCTTAATCTACCCCATTAACTTGGTTAATAGGACAATTATGAGCAAAGATAAAAAAATGAAATAAAAGCATTTACCCTAATTACTTCAATGATCCATGATTCCATACGTAAAAATGAGGGCCAAAATTATAGCACTGATCCTTGTAAAGGTATGAATTTCACTCTGGTAAACTGTTCATACATGTGAAGCCTTCATTACAACCAGATAAAGGTTTCGTCAACCGAAACGCAATGCAAGATATTTATCACATCTTGGGATTATTTCAGCTAAGAAGATAGAACTGTTGGGGTGACATGCTCTCATGCCGTGGGGGGGGGAATGTAATCACAATGTAAGTTTTTGTGCAGATTTAATACGCAAATAGTTTTCCACAAAATTTGATAGATTTGCCGAATTGGAACTGTTCAGGTACCTCAAGGGCCCGTGGGATGCCTGTGTCATGCAAAGTCTACTCCATCCGCTGAATGCAAGGAGATCGCATGTCCAGGCTTTGTTTCGCCAAAGGGAGAGCAAAATATTTAGCCATACATGTACACTGCTCTGGCCACTCGGCAAAGATGCAGCACACTGTATCACAGAGTAACAGAGCAAGAATGGCTGAACAAAGAGCTTCTCCCTCAATAGTGTTGGTTACAAGATAAACACTCGGGGATGGACACCACTTTGAATGGAAATGTACATTCCTTGCAATTTCTGAGAATCCTGGGAACTATGCATGTAGGCCCATTTGTTGAGAAGACTTGAAACAACCACTCGGTCAGTATTTTTCAAGTAAACTTGGATGATGTCGACTGAAAGTTTTACATTCCCAATGAAAAAAAAAATTGATTCAGGGAATTGTTATGGAACCGGGAGGGTGGAGGGAGAAGAGGAAGAGTAGGGAAGATACCCCTTCTCCCACCTCAGATTTAACCCAAACAGCTAACCATCCTCTCACAGACATGCCTGTGAAAATATCATTCCGGAATGTTACCTACAGATGATGGACGATTGGCACTCTTCAATCCCTAGATGTCTTGAACCATGATTACATGTAAAAAGCCCTGCCCTCCCCAACCCTTCCAGTCTAATTTCTGGTTCAACCCAAAGGCTGCACAAGCAGCCATAGCTCAAGAGAGAGTTCAAATGGCAAATCCCTTTGTACTTTGTTTTACAGAAATCAATATAGAGAGGCCTGGCTGAAATCCTTCAAAAGGAGACACCCTGCAGTACAGTCGAGGGACTGAAATTTACACTTAATTTGATGAACATTTAGCAAAACCTAAATTTACCATTTAAAGGTTTAACACTTAGCCAACACTTTACAAAGGTCACCAACCTTTGTGTTCACAGAGGCATACATAGTTCACCAACAATGTACATTATTAGTGACATGAATAAATATATGGAAGTGAATCATTCATTTGGCGAAGAGATAATTATGACATCACAGCAGGATGGTAATGAACCTTTCACAAGCCAGTGGCATTTTCACATGACTTTTCTACTGGGCTGGATGGGATGTATTTAATCAGCTATTTTTATGTTGTTGGTTTTTATGACAGCAATGTGATGCTTAAGAAAAATGGGGTCATGGGAAACTGACAAATGAAATGGTTCAAAGGCTTTTTGTTTAGGGCTCATGCCTCAATATATGTCCCATAACAAAGGAATCACCCCTTTAAACTAAACTTTCCTTCCTTACTGTCCCCGTTCACTCGAAGATGATTTTAGAATTATTGTAATGTACACGATTTGTGCACAACAGGTTAAATGCAATGAAGGATTGTCAGTTCTTGAAAAATGCTTCTGATGCTCCAAAATTTTAATACAATAACACTTAGTAGGCATCACTGAAAATGAAAATGGATACCAGATCACGTTAAGACAGTGCCGAAAATGAGATCCATTTCAACATTCTGGAAAATATGTGAACAGATTTTGAACTTTCGTTTGAACATCAGTCTTAGTACAGGCATGCAACTTGGACTTTGACCCCCCCCCAAAAAAGGAAATTTGAATCTTTGCTAGACACTTAGTACAGTGTTTATCATTTTCAGTAGCATGATTGTAAAGTGAAAAATGAGGAAATCAGCTGATCTGATAAAAAAAAAAGGGGCCAGCCTGTTTGTACCTCAATTAGCAATATTTACAAAAATGCACAGGTGCTGAGAGATCACTCAAGGAATAGCATCTCCCAAACCAAAGACTTCAGTGGGACTGGAATCCAATGTTACCAAGTCTCCAACCCCGCCCAAATTCCACTACATCACTGATTCCTCACATTTAATCAAGGCTTGACTCCAAAACTTAAAATGACTCACCACAAAAGATGTACGGTAACTTGCACAATGGAGTTGATCTTCTCAGTGAGAAATGTCCTGACTTGACTGCTTGTTACAAGGTGGTTTGCACACTTGAGGAGACAACTGTGCACAAAACATGCAGGCTGTTTGCGTCTGTAATATCAAATGCAAATCATACATGTGTCATAAATTACCATAAATTGTGGAACATAATCCGTGGCTTATACCTTGATTCTCATGCTGAAAATGTCTCTGCGGCTTATACACCAGGCAGCTTATACAGCAAACTATGAAGGACAACATCAGTCACAAAGCTGCGGCCGTGCAGGTGGCACAGCCATGTTTTTGTTGGTTGCTGTTTACATCTGAAAAGTCAAACCTAGGAGAATAAATAAAAATTAGAGTTGTCCAGATTTCGAGTTATGAACAGAATTCCAATGACCCACGCAGGACCACCATCAAGCCCACCAAAAAATATTAAATTTGAGGACTTAAAATTCCCTTTTTATGATGACTCTCGTTCGCATGTTTCTTTATATTTTTATTAAGATTGCACATGTAGTTGACATACAGTACATGCTGTATTGGCGCTTCAGCATGCAGCACGATGACCTTCATGGTTGGATCGTCAGCACGGCGGTGCAACTTATATGCGGGTGCAGCTTATATGTTGACTTTAAATCTTAACTTATATTCCGAAAATTACGGTAGAATGTTTTGGGAGTGGGTTTTTTGTTGACATGGTATCCAGGAGAAGGTGGTGCATTCTTAAGGAAATATTCCCATACACAACAAATACAAACCACAATTTCTCTCACTCTTTTGCTCAAGGCCAAATGCATACAGTGACAGCAATTGTTTTTTGAGGAAAACAATTTACAGAATGCACAGCCCACCTGCTTCCAAGCCTTGGTAGGTAATATTAACAGATGTTGCTGATCAAAACTTACAAGTTAAAAACTTTCTGGCAGATGTTGCTGATCAAAAGTTACAAGTTCAAAACTTTCTGGCCTGATACAAGAATCTGCCCAAACTCGTACAAGTACTGGCTGACATACAGCCAAAAAAAGGTTGCAGGGGATCTGAAAAGGGGCCGCATTTAAGGAGAATAATGTCTGCCCTTCCTTTTAGGTTTCTGAGTATCCCTAAGACTTAAAACCCATTAGTGGCTGATCTTACAGTGCAGCGTTATAATGAGGACAACAAATGCATTTAATAGGCATCCAGCACCCCCAATTAAAAACAGGCAAGCCTCTTGGTTTTATCATGCATTGCTCTCTAACAAAGGATTCCAATTTCTACCAAGGTAATTAAGTTGTTTTAGCTTGGCTAATGCGGTGTGAAAGGGTGATGGTACTTGAAGGTAATTAGCATGTTAAGTGGGATTGATCTCTGAGGGAAACTGGTCAGGTCAAAGGTAAGCGTCTGAACTGCTACAACCAATGCACCACAAGACCCATTTGTAGCTTGGATTTAGATTTCTCCATTCCACATGGACTAGTGGGCAACTCAGTGGTAGACTGATGGACAAGATCAAGGTGGCTTTGTAACTCCTGTTTGTCTGATGAGCATTACTTATCATGTGAACTGAGTGTTTGAAATTTCCTTTCCTGACATGTCATCCGATACATGCATGCTGTCTGCAAATCTTAGTTTACTGCTTGATGCTTTTTCAGTCCCTCTATGACTTGACTTCAGCACCTCAGTCATTTCCACCCCCCCTTTAGAAGTGTTGACTTCCAGTAACTCAGTGCTCCCCTTTGAAAACTTCAAGTTCTACCAACCTCTTCAGGGTACCATTTTGATGACTGTACACACAGAATATTCAGATTCTGTGGAAGTCGGAGACAAGGTTGCTAACACTGCGGATATCTCTATTCCAACCCAATCTACATGTAGGTGGTCTCGTTTGGCACCTTTACTGATCATTGAGCATATCCTTACCTTACCAAAGGAATCCATAAAGGTGACATCTCATCTTGACTCTTTTTTTTTTAATGATTTGGGTATCTGCAATGTCATTGACAATTTTTCACCACACACCATGTAATTTGATTTACAACCCTAACATGAGTGAATTATGATCACTTCAATTTCGCATATCCCAATATCTCTGATATATCCCATGGAAAAAAGAAGGGGTCAGTCACACCAATTACTGCTTTGCCCTATGTACATCATGCTGCTGTTGTTTAACCTGAAAGCTAACGACGCAGACCTATAGCATGATTGATCAATGCTGGCCAAAGACACAAGCTACTCATAGAGTACAACTGATAACAGTACAACTTCAATGAACAACTGTTTATGGCGTTTATATCGTGTGTATCAAGATCATAATGCACTGCAAGATTTACATAAATGAGCCACATTCATTCAAAAAGGCTGTCAGGAAAGTATACCGTGATTACCAACTTGAGAACAGAACATTTCAACAAAACCAGATTTTTCTTTACTCCTTGTGTCTGGCTGCAGACTTTACAATGCTTGTTTTATTATCACATTTGACAATGTTGACATTATCTTTTGTACGAAGACCTCATGTGAATGCCTCAAACTTTTGACCTCAGGAATCTGCTCTTTACGCACTATTTTGAAATGTCTGTTTACTGGGCACAGGCGATCTGTGCAAGTCAACACCTCCACCATATTGACTGCCATCATTTATTCATATAACCAAGGTGAGCTATTGATCTGACATGTTGAAACAAAAAAGCTTAGAACGTGTCAATGACGATCATTGCGCCACAACTGTCAAGTGCACTGATGGCAACGATTGGACAGCACAAAGAGAAAGCCTGCAAATTAATTCCCCTTGAACAAACATGAATAAGTCAATACTGACCAAAAAAGGGGGGAATTCATTAACGGTCCCAGCTCCATCGATCGCTGCTTTAATCAGAGCCACAAATGAACAAAGGGACCACCCTCATGGGCTGGTCAGAGCTGGAGAGCAAATGTGCTGTGAGTGAATACTGCGGGAGCCTTTTATCTTTAGCTTGTGGGTGAAAAAAGTCCAATTTGTACAGGTAGAGTTACTCAGGCCAACCAAATGCGAATGTTGAAATTAAATACATCCCCCCAATTCCCTCCCCAAAATGTCACAATACATCACACTCAGCACAATTACAATTTCAAATCGTGTGTCCTTGCAAAAACAATTCCAAAGTCATTTCCTTTTCAACCTCTCTGCCAAATCAAAGAAAATAAGACACAGAGAGGGGGAAAGAGGCTCCTCAGCACACACTATCAACACACAAAAAGGTTCGAGGAATCTCGTTTTATTACCTTCTTCTAATTAGCGGGAAAATCAATATCTTTCAGCAAATCTCGGGGAAAGAAAAAACGGGGGGGGGGGAAGGGACAGGAGAGAGATGACTGAGTGTGGGAAATCTGAGGAAGGAATCTCAGCCTATGAACAATTTACAGTCTAATTCACTTGCTCCCCGCCAAATCACATCGCACATGACCTGCCCGCCCATCTCATTTCAACCGATGACTTTTCCATCTCTTTTGCTGCATTTTATTTCTCATTCTATTCGTTCACCCTGCCGTGCACTGGCCTTAATAGGGGCAGGTGTTTGTGAAACTAATCAGGAAGGACCTACTTGCATAATGATGCCATTCCCGTATTTCTTCTCTCTTTCTAGACTCACTACGTGAAGATTAAATTTTGTCCTTCATTGTGCTACATATGCTATTTGGAACCAGGGTTTAAGTCTATTTTTATAATCTTATGAAAGGGAGGTCGGGGGGATGGTGTGATGACAAAATTTGCATCAAACCTGAAAGATGAATTATAAATTCCCTCTTCTAAATACAACATTTCTCCTAAATGTTAATTGTTTTTTATAGTAATGAGCTGGTGGCTTTGTTCCACTATGCCATCATGCACAAAATTATTATTTTTTTTACATCACTCATGAACCTATTAACTCACAAGATAAAATTTGAGTCTGCAGTGGTAAAAACCTTACTCACATCCCACACTACGGATATGTCTTAGCAGTCATGAAATACCTGTGATCTTCTTTGACTAAGTTAATTCGGCGACAATTACGTGAATGTATATGGTGATATATGGTACAAATCCCCAAACAACCAGAGAGATCTAACCAAAATGACAGCCAAAACACACCCCTCATAACAAAAATGTTAACATTCCTGAACATTATGTCCAAGGATGTGATGTGTAGTGGTTAAGTCCAACAAGCAGCAGAATTCAGGAGTCTGTTGTATTAATCACTGGAGATGAAAAACCCCCCACGCAAAAGTGCCGACATGGCTATGACATCAAAGCACATAAATAACATTAATTTCTCCATTTGCCAAATGCTGGGGTGCTGACAGTGAAGTGTGCCTTCCATTAATCAAAGAGAAGAAAGATCTTCTCTCACCGCTGCAAACACCACTGACAAAAATAAAAGGAAAAGCAGCTCCCAAGTCCTTGAAATTTGACTGAGAAATACACTGCCATCTACCCTTGCTGTCACGTACTGGGTTATGCCAATACTGTGTGGACACTTCAACGACTCATTTTGCGGCGATCATGAAATGAACGTCCTCCAGTTGTCATATTGTTGGTAAGTTGCTCCCTAAACTGCAATATTCGGGCAACTAAATTAAAGGCATTCATTTCGGTAGCTAGTGACAATCGCACTGATGCTTGCAAGTGGTGAAGTCATACACACTTAAGATATTGATGGTGACAGACTAAAAAGGAAAAACATCAGGCCAATGATAAATATAACTTTCTTGAAGTTCTTGACTTTTTTCCTTGGCCCAATATCGCAGTCTCCAGTCTCTGCCTGACTGTTTACTTAACCCATCTCTGTTCTTTTACAAAAGGAAATATCACTAAACCAGAGCCAGCTCTGAATTGCACAGCACTGAAAGTCTGATAGAAATGCTCCCTGCAGTAACTGTCAGTGTGACAAATGCATGGCTCACATTGTGATTGCAATGCACAATATGATACATGAGTGAGTTATGATTTAATGGATCAAGACCTTGCAGTATGAATAATTCTGGCGCTTTCCTCTCTGGCTGGCTTTCTTCTTCTCAGTTCCGGCCCTGTGACATATGGCATCAAGATCCTCACTGCAAGTCGTTACCGCGGTAATGGTGCCCTCATGCCTGCATGCAAATCTTGC